TACCAAACTTTTAAAACAGATTATGAAAGAAAACAGCAAACGTGAAGCTGATCATACAAAACTTAAAGAAGATACTACTAACCTCAAGACCAAAAACACTGAGCTTGAAGCTGAAGTAGTGAAATTAAGATATGATATTGAGGAAATTAAAAAGAAAGATCAAATCATTACTAATATATATGATGCATTTTCTACAGAAGAGATTTCGTCTACTTTATCTGATACTTCAAATTCTAATGAATTTAATAATGTTCCAAATTCTGATATATTCGATAACACTTTTTCAGAAATTAAATCTTCTAAAGATAGGGAGATTGAATTTCTGGAACGGGTACATAAAGAACAAATTAGTAATGAGATTAGAGAAAGAAATTGAAAAAAGAAGCTTCAATATGAGTCATTTATTGAAAGTTCTCCAAAAGAGAATACTCACATATCTAATATTAAATCTAGTATCTCTCCTGAGCAGATAAAAGTACAAGGTTTAATATAGAAGATATCAGCATTTATTAAAGATTAGAATCAAGCAACCAAAATTTTAGCGAACAATTCATCAAAAATATTTGTCAAAAATCATGTATCCAAAAATTTAATTCAGAAAAATAGTGAGAAAGATGATATTATTTTGTTTTCTGCATCAAAAAGTAAAGTATTATTAAATTTAACAAGTTTATATAAGAAAGCTTGTGATACAGAAAAGCAAGCGATTAAAGTTAATCAAGATAAAATTATATGTTGGTATTATTATATTATAGAATTCGATAATCAGGTTAAAAATCTTATGAAATCTGATCATATTGACGAGAAAAAGGTGAAAGGACAAATTTATGATTTTATTATTGTACAACTAAATATCAAGCGTAAAACATAACAAAAGCAAATCCAAAAGGCTAGAAAGGTTTATAATTTATTCAAAAAAATAGGGATAGATAAGATTCAGCATATCAAAATCTTTAGTACAGATGCTATTTCAAGATTTACTAATTTACAAATTCAAACAGTCATTGTTCATTTTGCTAAAATATCTGACATAGAATTCATCAATGATCAGGATAATTCTTCAGATGATTTACCTGAAGCTGAGGTAAGTATATCTATTGATCAAGATGAGTCAAAGACTTGAAGCTCTACTTTCTCAGAATTACCAGAAGCTAAGGTAAATGCATTTACTGAAGAAACCAAGTCTTGAGTCTCTGATTCATCTATTTCTGCTAATTCAGAAACTGAAGTAAGTACACTGCCTATATTCAAAGAAAATACATCTAATAAATCCTGATCTTCAATCTCTATTTTATCTGGTGATCCCAAAAAAAGTGAGCTCATGTTATCAAAATGATATTGAAGTGATTCACTAATTTATCTTTTAAATGTAGTAGTAAATATACTAATTATTTTAATTGTACAGAAACATGTCCTGTATGTAATAAAGAGTATAAAGACAATAATATTAGTGATGAATAGTGTTGTGATTAGATATTTTCATAATCACAAACAATCATCTTACATGATCACTTCACATGATCACTTCAAATGATCACTTCAAATAATCATTCCAACTGATCAAGTGCTCTGAACGATCATTGCAAATGATCATTGCAAATGATCATTTTATAATTATCAAATACTTATAAATACAACTTGTATCTTAGCTTAGAAAAATAACAAGTTAGAAATTAATTCAATTTAGTTTTTAGTTTTTATTTTTTTAATAA